TTTTTAAATCTTTTTACTAATAAAAGCGCTTTACTAAAAAAGTACTAAATATAAATTAAAATTAACTTATATATTATAATATTTAAAGCTAAAGTAGCCTGCTATAGCATAGCTAATATAGCACTAAAAAATAATAAAATAAGTATAAAACTGCTAAAGCAAGTTTAAATATATATTAAGCTTATAATTATAGTACTATACTAAGCGTGCTTTTATATTAGCTACTACTTAGCTGCTTTTTATAAAGCTAATATAGTTTTTTTTTTTAAACTTAATAAAAATAATTATATATTAATTAAATTATAAAAACTTATTTTACTACTTTTATATATAAGCAAAAGCTTAAAGCAACTTTTAGTATAATAACTAACTATAGCAATTATTAATAACTAAATAGTTAAATAATAATAGTTTAGCGCTTTGTTTAACTAAGTAGCTATAAATTTAGTAATAGCTTTTATATATAATATTAAAAATAATATTTTAATATATAAAAAAGTTTTTTTTATTTTAATTATAAACATTATAAGTGCTTTTAATACTATTTTTTAAAACAAACTTATATATAGGCTTTTAAAATAAAAATAAAAGCTTATTATAACGTAGTAAGTTAAGTTCTTTATAATAAATTAAATAGCTATACTTAAATAAAAAAACGCTATAGCTTTAAAAAGACTTTTTAAGTATAGCCTTTTATAAAGATTGCTAATATTTTTAATCTTTTTTATGCTTTTTATTATACCTTTGCTTAAATTAAAATATAAAAAAAATAATTATAGCTATGCAAATAATATAGCTTTAGCAAAATATAAAACTAACTTATGCTTAAATGCTATAATTTTATTATACTAAGCTATATAAGCTATTAAATAAAAGAAAACAATGCTATTACTTTTAATAAAAATAAATATAACTTATTATATATTTATAATAAAAACTATAAAATAAAAAACCTAGTATTAGTAAAAAATATAGCTATTTTTTTAAGCTTTAAACTAATAAAGTAGCTTAGCGTTTATTTAAATAAAAAACTAAAGTTTTAGTATTATATTAAAATATAAGCTAATAAGGCAGCTTGCACTAATATATTTATAAAAACGCTAAGCAATATAATTTAAAGTTTTTTTATTTTTATACTTGCTATAGTAGTTAAAATAATAGTACTTTTAATAGCTATATATAGCACTACTATTTAGTATTTTAGTATACTATAATAGTTAATTAAGCATAAAAATAAAATAGTTAGTATAAGCGTTAAAAGTATAATAAATAAGATTTATAGCACTTTAAAGCGTATAATAAAAATAGTTTTGCTAGTTTAAAAGACTTTTTTATATATAGCAACTTTTAAAAAAGTAAGCATTTTAAGCATACTTTTAGTACTTAAAACTTTTAAATAAGCAGCTTTAGCTTATATAGCTAAACTAAACTACTATTACTTTATAGCAGCTAAAATATATAAGCAAACTAACTATAAAAAAATAGTTTTATAAAAAATTAAAAACTTACTTTTTAAAATTTACTAGCTACTTTTAGCAGCTTTAGTAAAACTATAGCTAAGTTTTGCGCTTAAAAATAAAAGCAGTATAGCTAAAGCTTATAAAGTATAAATAAAGCAAATTTTAAATAAATAAAAAAAAAAATACTTTTTTTTTATATTTAAATAGCTTTAAAAACTAATTTACTTTATAAGCTTTTATAGCTTATAAAGTAAAATAATTAATATATTATAAGTTAAAGTAGCTAAATAAAAAAAAAGTTTTTAATATAAAATATATAAAAGTATTAAAAGCTTTTATTTAAGCACTTAAAAAATATTTTTAAAAAAAATAAATATACTATATATACTTAAACAATATAGTAGCTTTTATAGGTTTTTTTAACAAATACTTATATAGCTTAAAATATTGTTTTATAAAGTTTAAAAAGTTAGCAAAAAAAGCAAAAAACTAAATATATTTATATTAGTTTTTAAAATATAAAAGTATTTTAAAAAACAAAAAAGCAAACAAATATATAAATAATAAGTTTAAAAAGCAAACTTTATAATAGCACTTTATATATAAAAACAAACTTTTATACTTATAAGTACTTAAAAAAGCTAAAAATAAAGTAAAAAAAGCAATTATAAACTAGTAAATACTATACTAACTAAATTTTTATAAATAATAAAACCTACTTTTTAAAATAAAAATTAAAAAGCTTTTAAAACTAAAACTGCTAAAATTAGCACTAGCCTTTTTTTTTAAAATGTTTAAGTTATAGTAGTTTTACTACGTACTATAAGCGTTTTAGCTATAAAAAAAAGTTAATAATATTGTATATATGTAAAAAAAAAAAAAAAATTAGCTATATACTTTTAAATGCAAACACTAAAAAAAAGCGCTTAAAAAAAGCTTTTCTTTTTAAAAAAAAAAGCACTGCTAAGCAATAAGGCTAAAATAGCGCAATTATAATTTTAAAAAAATAAATACCTATACTACCTTTTAAACAAAATATAAAATAGCGCAATTTTTTTTTTTATTATTAGCTAGTTATAAAAGCTTTCTTTTTAACTGTTTTTTTTAACATAAACCCAAAAAAAGGTTACATAAGGTAATAAGAGGCGGCTAGCTGCTAAGGCACTTATAGCCACAGTTGCGCTATTATAGTTAGCCCGGACCCACCTAAAATAGACGTTAAAATTCTACTACTACTACTACTACTTGTCATTAACACCTACGTGTAGTTTATCCTCTTCAGCTCGTGTCCACTAGATTGGACATAGCCCGTGGTGTCGCGTGTTTTAGCTGTCGTGCCGTATTTTTTACTTTTGGTTGGAATACGGACCATCGAATAGAAAGAAAATGAAAGGAGAGGGGGAAAGGAGGATCGAGGGGCTGGAACATCAAGTATTTATCAAAAAGAGTCGACCTCAAGTTGCGGCGACGGAAACCTGAGCCTTTGGGTCGAGTGTCAAAGTGGGCCTAGAAAGGAAGCCCCTTATTGGAGGAGACGGTGGGTCACGTGTAGCAAATAGTAAAGTAGAAGTTACATACGCGTAAAACCCTTGTGCAGCTGGCACCTGCAGTTGCCTTCATTATGTGTTTGTAACGTCGAATTACCGTATTTTTTCATGGCGCAGTTTTTAAAGTAATTGAGGTACATTACCGATAGAGAAGTGTTCAATTCATTTTATCTCGGAGGATATGACATCAAGGTGTTGAAATGTCTAAGCGGTCATTCGAGGAATTTGCGACGGCGGAATCGTGCACATCTCGGTATCAATCCGTTTTAGACCACGCTAACCGCCTGCTGGAAGCGGCAGAGTCACTGAAGCAAGATCTTGAACGACTGGGGAAAGACTGCCGCCAACCATCACATGAGACTATCCTCTCGACATTAAAGCGACACAATGCCAAAATACATCCCGTCACTCAAGCGCTCTCTCATGCCGAGGTTCGGATAAAGAAGACCTCATAGCACCCCATGACCTCATCGGAATTCTGACATTTCTCTTTCACAGACAGCCAGCGTTGACGAGACATGTATGAGCGTGGAGGAGATGCCACAAAAGACCAGGAAGCGAGAAGAGGGTGTTCAACATTCTTTGGACAGTGGTTCTCGCCCGGGATTACCAGTTCCTCGCCCAGTGGTTCTCACAAAATGGACGCCTGATGACTTCTCCAATACGGATGCGTTGCCGGCCCTACCCCCTGTGTTAAACCCTGTGCTCGAGAGGGCAGCACGTACGCACTCGGGAATAGCCGGCGGACTAGGCGAGGAGAGCTACGAGAGACTGGAGTGGATCGGTGATGCATATCTATATCTCATATCCTCGGCCTTTATCTACCAGACGTTTCCCAATCTGCCTACCGGGCGAAGCTCGCAGTTACGAGAGAGGCTCATCAAGAACGAGACTTTATCCGAGTTCACCGTGCGGTATGGTATCGACAAGCGGGCTAGATTACCCACAGAGTTCCAGCCTGGTGGAAGGCAGGCAGCGGGCGGCACCTCGGCCTCGAAGAAGGAGAGAAAGAAACTTCTAGGCGATCTATTCGAAGCCTACACAGCTGCTGCCATTCTTGGTGACGACGACGGTCTCTCACGCGTCACCGCGTGGGTCAAGACCTTATGGAGCGATGTCCTTAAGCGTGAGATAAGTGACGAGCACAAAACCACTGCTTCCCAGAAACGCCACGACGGGTTCACGAAAGTGGAAGGTCGCGACAACAGCTCCCCTGCACAACCCATCATGGAGCAGAGTATGCCAGCCAAGGCAAAGTTGGCACAGGCAATAGGGGCAAGGAATGTCACGATATCCTACCGAGACGAAGGCCCTCCCAAGAAGGACAAGAATACCGGTTTACCATGGTACACTGTTGCGGCTTACTACGATGGACTTGGTGAGAAGAATCTTCTTCTTGGCTACGGCAGCGGTCTATCGAAGAAGGACGCGGGCGCCATCGCTGCCACGAAGGCGTTGGAGAATAAGAAGTTAATAAAAAGGCTCCAAAAGCTCAAGGACGATATGAACCAGGTACTCAAAAATACATGAGTTTGGCCGAGAAGGACATGGCTACGGCAGGTCCTTGGTTTTTCACGCATTGGGGGACAACGCTTCGATAGAATCCTGGCAGAAGGCTCGACTAAATGCCAAGTTCTCGATATCCTCTGGGTACTTACCTAACCTATTTGATGATACGGTAGGTATCTAGATATTCCCTGCCGGTTTCGACAGCTGTACTTAGGTATGAAATTAATTGTATCCCATTCCGGCCGTTACATGCTGAATGAGCAATTCAAACCCTTGTACCGAAGCATCTCCCTGTACCCACATCCGGATGGGAACGAAGGCAATAGCCCGCGTATGACACCCAGAAAATTCTAGGTTTTCGGATCAGGAGTATCGCAACGGAACATATGCCCTAGAGATTATCGGAACGGTTGCTCATGAGCCGCAAACCGCAACTCGCTGTCGAAGTGATGATCGCAACCTGTGAGGCAGCTGTACATCAGCTGGTCGGTTAGCTCAGTTGGTTAGAGCGTCGTACTAATATTATGTTGTCTATACTGCGATGTAATATCAGTAATGCGAAGGTCATGAGTTCGACCCTCATACTGACCAACCGTGTTCCTTTTTGTTGTTTCATGTGGGATATCGTGCACTTCTAGCGCTGGGCTATTCCTGGGGGCAACGGCATGACTCGCGATGTTGCCGGTCTCTGCATTTTACCTGTTTGCTATTGGGATCATATCCGGTAAGCCGGTAATTATGCAGTTGTTCGACTTTCCTGATATTACTACGTGAGATGTCCAGGCTACGAGTATTCGAGTTGTTTCGCATTCCCGACACCCTGTTCGCGTTGTACGCAGACCGCAGTATAATTCCAACTTTTCTGTATTCCATAATATTTTCTCTTCGTGTGCTCTAGATACAACAAACAGACAAACAAATAGACCGGCAACATTAAACCTCGATACCCAAACCCACTCTCCAACCAAAGCTTCCCATCTTTCCACCCAATCCACCACTTCCTTGCCGTCCCCCTAGGCAGATGACAGTCCAGCATCTACACTCACTGCAAAGTCTGCACAGGGAAGCTCAAGTCAGGATCGACAACCGTCCCGTTACCCAGCACATCATCTCTATACCCAGCATAAACAATAAGATTCTTCGGCCGATCAACAACCGAGAGAACAGTAAACCCGTTACCGGCACCAAACTGTCCGCTCCACCCACTCGTGATAGTGTAGGCGCCGCAAGTGACCGGACCCCCAGGGGCCGTGCTCGCCGGCTGGACGCCCGTGTTTCGGACTACAAAGACACAGTCTGTCGGATCTACACCTTCGGTGTTGGTGTCGATCCCGAAGGTCCATGTGCAGGTTGTGTCGTTGGTGTTGCAGGTGCGCGCGAGAGAGGTGAGGGTCCATTCTGCCGAGGCGAATGTCGAGCGCGTCTTTGCGAGGACGGGGGCGCACACGGCGAGGAGGGCGGTGAGGGTGGTAGTTGTGAATTGCATTTTGATTTGTGTAGGTAGTTGTTATGTGTTTATTGGACTAGGTTATTTGTTTCTTGGGGTTGATTCCGAAGTACTGGCTTGAGGGTTTTATAAGTGACGCTTTTGTTTGTGTGTTTTTTCTCGATCGATGTGTATCTTGAGACGATGGTGATGGTGATGGTGAGGTGATGATGCTGTACAAAGGAAAGCAAGACATGACGTTGGGGACTCACTTATATATATCTTGATTCTTTACCCTCTTTGCCCTAACTTCTACTACATGTGACATATACACGTCCCCAACAGACTAGATCATACCAATGGGTTGGTTACATGACCATACACCAAGTGGCGAAATTGACCGTATAATCCCACTACCTACCTACACAACGTCTACCTTTACAAATGCGACAATATCCATCCAATACGGATATGACAAGGACGTACGTAGGTCTAGGTATGCTGATGTTATACTCGTACGTGTAGGTATAGCCACTCAGTCCTATAAACCTCGTATTTCAGCTGTCTGACCTCACTTTACTGACCGTTTGTTGGTTTTGGCTTGGGAAGGACTAGGTTTTTGTTTGGTTCGGTGGCTGAATGGACGTATGTACTCGTAGCAACGGGTAGATAAGTGGAAGTGAATGATCATGTATGTTGTAATACTGTTGCAAGGACTCTTGCTGTTGTCCTTTCCCCTCTCACATCGCCGCCCATTCACTGTTTTCCTTTACGTATACGGTTATAAGCGGCGAGCTGATATGATATGATTGGGCTGATGTATTTGCCCCAAGTAAACAATTCACTATAATAGTAACACTTGTTTTACGACCCCCTTACCTTTACCCCAAATCCCCAAATGCAACCAGAAAAAACATGATATATAAAAAGGCAAAGATAAAAAAATTCGTGTCTGATGATATACGGCGATGTCTCGGATCGATCTTGGCTGGTACGGCACGCGCCTACCGCCCATGCAGGCGGTACATGCCCCTTACCTAAGACGTTGTGATCGGCGGTCGCCAAGGCCTCGTATTGTATTTTGCCAACAGAGAGAGAGAGGGGGGTGACAGTGACAGCGGCAGTGACAACTGACAAGCCAGCCAATGCCACTTTCGCTGTTTGCCCCCTTTGTTCGTGTCCTAGTAGTAAAGTAAGTACTGTGATAGATAGATAGAACCTGCGTTTAGACTAGTACGTGTACTACGTTAACCTTACTTTAAGCTTGTCCCCCACAACATGTAAATTGGAGGAGAAGCTTACTCGCCCGCTTGTTGACCAATGTCTCACCTGGACTGACCACCTATTAATACCTACATACAGTTGGGGGTGACTGCCGATTCGCTTATTTCCGGAAATCTCTTTTGTTGCGGTGCAGCTCAGTCCTGTATTGACCTGGGTAATTATACCCCGATATGGTTTTGTCTGGCCATTGTCGTCTCGAAGCTGCGCAGCACTTGATGAAACTCTCAGGGCAGCGATTAAATATATCTTGGGTCATGTGGAACGGATTCCATTGTTACTCGTTGCTTTACCATCATGATCTAACCTTCCGGTCCAAAGCCTGTTTTGATATTTATAGCTTCTGTACAACGTTAGCACATACCAAGGTACCTGAAACATAATATGGCCGTATGCATAGTACATGTCGTTACATAACCCATCCACTATGAGCATCGCGATTCTTCACTTTGCCTCGTAGACGGTAGCTATCCAAGACAGGTTCCCAGGTATCATAAATCCCGATCCCCTATTCCCTGTGTCCATTTCCCCCTTTTCACAGTCGCCCTTAACATCTTTTTCCTTTTTCTGATCTAGAGATGGAAAGAATCGACATTTTCGAGCAGCCAAGCAGAACTTTCATTCCTAAAGTCGTCCTTAATGAGCTTGTTAAAGGTGCTGTAAAAGTTCATCAACTCCTTCTTCTCCTTATATTGCGGCCACTTGGGGAATAGGCTGGAGGTGCCCTCGTTGGGGTCCATGTTATGTACGAAGGAGATGTAGTAGCTGTGAATCGACTTGCTGGCGTAGTTGGGCAGGATACCATAGAAGACCTGCAAGATGTCGGACCCGTGGAATGTGCCCAAGATGGGAGTGCCGTAGTCATAAGACGCCATGTAGGACCATGCCGGCACGTCGGGATTCTCCTGAATATGTGCTTGGAGGAACAGTCTACGAGTTACTGTGAATACCAGGTCGCCGAGAATGGCCGCGAGGCGCTTGAACTGGGGATATGGACTGTTCAGGATTCCAGTACGGAACGGACTTCCGTCTTGCAACTTGGGACTGTAGCCGTCCACCATCTCGGCAATCAGCTCCCTTGACGCGTCGTGGAAGAAGACTTCGGATAGGTACGTGATCAAGTCGTTCTCTGTCGTCAAGTTGGACTGGAAGAGCGAGAAGAGGGTCCCTTCGTCTTCCTGGCCTCCGATGATCATCGGAACCGCTGCATACTGGCCGCTAAGAACTAGACGGTCAGGACTATCCGTTATTACGACACCGTCTGGGCGGGGAAGGTACGACAATGCGACAGAAGTGTAGCTTAGAATTCCAGGCACACTGTTGGCCGCATGCAAGAACGTGTCGTAGTCGGCTTCGCGAAGGCATTGGAGGGTATCGTCGGCCGAAGAGCAACCGGAACCACGGACTACCTCGTCATACACGTCTTGACAGCGCGGGCAGTCTACCCTGTCAGAAGGTACGACGCTGCCACTGTTCATGATGCCGGCACGGAAGAGAGGCTTTCCTTTGTACGTGTTGTTGCCGCCGAAGAGAATCATCTGGTCGAAGACGGAGATGGCTCCAGCCGACTCTCCCCAGATGGTCACTTTGCTTGGATCACCTCCGAACGCCTCGATATTGTCCTGGACCCACTCAAGACCCATACGCTGGTCAAGGAGACCCAGGTTGGATGCACCGTCTGCCAGGATCTCCTTGCCGGCCAGGAACCCGAAACCACCGACGCGGTAGTTGACCGAGACGAAGATGAAGGGCTTGCGCTGGGCAATGCCGCTCAAGACGAGACTGCTGCCGTCGTACATGGCGGGGCTCCCGAGCTCGAAGCCACCGCCGAAGATCCAGAAGAGCACAGGCAGCTTATCGCCTGCTTTCGTGCCGGCTGGACGCTGCACTCTCATCGTGAGACAGTCCTCGGTTTGACCCGTCACAGTCTGGAAGAGCGGCGTATTGATCAAGTTGCCAAGCACGCTTGTAAGTAGAGGTCCTTCGGTAGCGAAGAACATCTGAGGGCACGAGGGCCCCACCCCGGCCGCATTGAGTGTGCCATAGGGCTTGGTGCGTTTCTGGGGCGGGCGGAGACGAAGGTTGCCCACCGGCGCGTCAGCAAAGGGGATGCCGGCGAAGTTCTCGACTCCTAGGATAGAGGTACCAACTACTGTACCAAGGGACGTCTTGACAGTAGTCACCACCCTCTCCTCGAGCTGAGGGGATGGTGCCGGTACCGCAGCGACGAGGCCGGCAAACCCGGCCATCGCTAGGGAGAGAACAGCAGCCTTCATGTTGGCGGGCAGATGGTGATAGGCTAGGAACCTGAAGCTCAAGGTCAAGATCGGATGAAGACACCGGAGGGATCAGACTATATGTCTGTCGTCGACCACGTTTACAAAAGGACTGACCTCGGCTACCTAGGAGGTAGGTAGGCTCAAGAGATCTAATTCGTCCCAAGACAGTACCTGCAGAGTTCCTATATACGACCAGAAGGGCGGCGCCGATCCTTATATAGATAGACTACCTTGCATGTTGACGACGGGACGCGATGGATGCTTGACTGGCCGGATTGTGTGCCGGCACAAGGTTGAATGACTTGCATCGCAGCCTTCGCAGGGCTAGACTCCATGATTCAGCCCCGATAGGGGGGTAGCTTGCGGCCGGTAGTGGGTATCTTCAATTTGTCCATGGTCGTCAAGATCAAAGGATGGAAAAGTAAACGAGTTACTTGCCTGAAAACGAGTCGGATACCGGACCTTTCGCAAAGACGATGAAGGTTGGCGAGACTTCCCGAGGCAGTTAAGCAAGCGCGCTTGCAGGGGTTCTCCGCTTCCCCATATGGGGCTTCACCACTAAAAACTGCCTGTCCAAGCTTGGAAGTCATCCCTGTAGGTAACAT